TTCCTTCCTTCCTTCCTTCCTTCCTTCCTTCCTTCCTTCCTTCCTTCCTTCCTTCCTTCCTTCCTTCCTTCCAGGTACCATTTCAGTGAACAGCAGACGAACACCATTCACTGCAAGTGGAGAGAGTGAAATCTTGGATCTGGAAGGAGACATGTACCTTGGAGGACTGCCGGAAAATCGGGCTGGCCTTGTCCTTCCTACTGAGCTATGGACAGCTATGTTGAACTATGGTTATGTGGGCTGTATCCGAGATCTCTTCATTGATGGGCGGAGCAAGAACATCCGGCAGCTGGCAGAGCAGCAGAATGCAGCTGGTGTCAAATCTTCCTGCATTCGGGTCAACACCAAACAGTGTGATAGTTATCCCTGTAAGAACAATGCTATCTGCAAGGATGGCTGGAACCGCTTCATCTGTGACTGCACGGGCACTGGCTACTGGGGAAGAACATGTGAACGGGGTAAGTTCAGAATTCAGAAAGAGATTTTATCCAGAATTGAATGGTGTTAGTGTGGAACTTTAACTTCTTGATACTTTACACTATAGTGTTGCTATAACTTCAGACTAATATGCTTGTGTCTACCAGTAGCTATTCTAATAAGGATTAGTTCACACAACGTATAGTGTGATGAGATATTAAGACTGTGCATAGAACACATCATCCACTGTATGCATGAAATATGCTTAAATCAGAACAGACATATTCGGTATTGTACCAAGCCAAGATGCTTCCCTCCCTTTGTGAGGGGAAGATTCAGATAATTTGGTCTGTAATTTCATTATTCAATCCTTTGTCACAAGGGGGGATAAGTATGTTGGGCAAGAAACGAACTAGTGTTTTGAAGAGCCCTGAAGATCTGGCTCCTTACCCAGGCCTTTGGTGAGGGTGACTGAAGTCCCCTTTAAGTATTCTGCATTGTTTTCTTTGTTCCAATCCCATTTTATCATTTTTGCCACCTTTACTTTTTATTTTCACTTTTTTGTTGTTTCTAATGTTTTAGCAATTTGTAAACCACCCAAAGTCACTGGGAGTTGGGTGGCATATAAATTTAATAAATTAATATGGTTGGTCGCACAATCAGCCAGATGTTTAGACTGGATTTGGCATTCTTATCCACCTATCAAATCCTTCCCAAGGACCTGGGATAGGCAGAGGTTGTTTGATGGTGTTAAAGGTATTGTCACAGGATCTAAGCTGTTCCAAGTAAAGGTGCCTTTTGCAATTGACTGATGGTGTTTTTGTCAGTGCCGATGGTGTTCAAGTGGTGCTCCAGGTGTTTTGGAATTGCACCCAAGGCACCTATTCCTACTGGTACTATCTTTGCTTTCTTTTGCCACAGTCATTCTATTTCTATTTACAGGTCTTTGTATTTTGTGATTTTCTCCAGTTCTTTTTCTTCTATTCATTTACAGGTCTTTGTATTTTGTGATTTTCTCCAGTTCTTTTTCTTCTATTCATTTACAGGTCTTTGTATTTTGTGATTTTCTCCAGTTCTTTTTCTTCTATTCTGCTGTCTCCAGGTATTGCAATGTCCACTATCCAGGCTTTTTTGTCTTTCTTACCAACAGTTGTT